GGGGCTGATAATTAAAGAACTGGACGTTTAATGCTGAATCCCTAGACAAAAACTCAGGTGCTTGCTATATGTCTGTCTGATACCTGCAGAAATCCTTGATGTCAAGAGCTGCACAATGGTCTCTTCGAGGCAGGGGATTAAGTTCTCAAGCTTCCTGAATTGAAGAGCTTTGATGAATTTCTTCTGTTCTTTTTAGTGTTTGGGATTAGGTGGAAATTAGTCTTTTATTGGGAATCAAGGAGTATTTCTTACAACTCTTCTAGCTCCTAGAAAAGGGCATTAAGTTTGCCTCCCTCCTCCAGAGTAAGTTGACCGTATTTTGTAAAGAAGCCTCATGAAAAGATTTCCAGTGGAAGAGAAGGAAAAAGAGGTAAGAGGCTGATCTGATTAGAAAATCCATAGAGGAGCCCTGAAGTGCAGCCACAGGTTATCTGTACAAGGTTGACCTGGGCTGTGGATTAGCCAGCCACCACCTCCTTCTACTGCAACTGCTGCGGTCCACGTGGCATAGCACGGTGTGCTCTTCAAACAAGGCTCTGCCATACCCATTGGTGTTCAAAATCACTATGGAATTCCCTACAAATTGTGCAAACGTGTATTCAGAGTCTAATTTATGTATGACTGGAATGTGCCGATGCCCTTAATCGTGAGCGAGCTGACGTGACACAACGTTAAGCTTTGCTGAACTGCTCAATACAACTGCTGGAAGAGGCCACAGAAAAGGGTGGGATCAGCAGGGCGCTGGGCTCCAGCTCTTTGGGTCAGTCACCCTGACTCTGCAGGCAGGTGCTGCAAATAGACTCTGGAGCTTGTACAGCTCGTCCCTGCCCCTCGTTTCGGCAGAGCAGAAGGGCTGCTGGAGCCTTCAGGGCACACACGTGGATGTTGAGAAAGCCTGTCCACGGAGTCAGTCATTCTGGAGGGATTTCCAGCAAGTGTTCAGTAGATTGTGTGAGTCGAAGGAGTTTGGAGAGACTCCAGGAGCTTTTACGGTTTCACGAATTTCATCAGCGTTTTCCTAAGGCAGCATCAAGGGGAATGCTTCCTTATCTGTCCATGCGATCCTGTGGTGAAGCCTGATGTGCAAGTCCAGTATTACATAAAAGAAACGGCTCAGTTGACCATACTATGGTGCAAGAATTTGCCACATCAAATGACACTTACAGAGCATGATTTCCTATGATCCCTTGCTGTTTGTTTCAAGTTTTTTGAAAAGGAGCCATGGTAGGTGTCATGAGCTCAAAGTCTTCCCTATTTTGTAACCAGCCATATCCCAAATAACACAAGGAATGTGTCTTTCTGGCAAGTGTGTTTATCCTTGCTCCTTCCCTTTGTATTGGGCCAGACTGTATGATCTTAGCATGTTCTGATTTCCCAGAACTGTAGAAATAAAGAAAAGCTGAACAGCATTTACAAATCTTTTGCTGGGACTAAATACATTTTGTCCCACTCTCATGAAATTAATAAAAAGAAGTGAGGCAGATATTCTCGGATAAAGCCTGCTGTGTGATAACCAGCCCTCTGTTATTTCCCCATAGACCATTAAAAAAGAGGAGATGATCTAGTTGGTACCACAATGTTTACAGCTTTTCTGCTGAGCAGCTTTGAGAGCAGAGTCCCCGTCCATCAGTGCTGTCCCTCTGAACTGTCCCTCTGGCAAACTTCTTCACAGACACATCACTGTACTTAAATCTCTACGCACCAACATCCCCACTACCGACTACAGTGCATAATCTCAGCTCTTTGGAGGAAAATATTTTTTGGAAAGGTGCCAGAAAGAGAGGTTGGAAACAACAAAAAAAAATCCCACCACCAGCTCTGCTGCTGGGATCAGCTCTAAGGTCACCACAGTTGCACCCCAACAGTGACTGAAGGACACCATCAAAGTACCTAAGCACTTTGTCCAAGGTGCCAAAAGGATCACAAGAAACTTATAATACAGATTCGAGCGTCTTGAAATTGTCCCAGTGATACCACATCTGTGGTTGCACTTAGTCAAGAAGGATTCACAAAGCTTTTTGTAACAAGATTCATAGCAGCTTTGTCCCAGGATTGAGGCTTGATGGACTGGGACTGAGAGAGTCGGAAGAAGGAAAGTGACTGGAAACTGATACATCTTCTTTTAGGGATGAAGAGGCACTGAAGAGGGTTCCTGTTTATAACAGCGTTAATCAAGATTTAGCACTTTTCGGTTGGTTCCAAAGGACAAAAGTATTTCAGGAATAAACTCTGCATGGTGAACAGCTGGCTACAACTGCTGACACTAAGGATGCAGAAGGAACAAAACCCAGTAGCATCTGAAGGCCCCCTAGTACCTAGGTAGTCTGTGAAGAGTCTTTACAGCACAAAGCTCAGGAAACTTTTTATTGGTACCATTTCATCTTTTTTTCCTGCCTTTCCTCACCAGACTGAAGACTTTTCCCTTTCTTCTGCTATTGTTAGACCGAACTTTGGCAGAGGAAACACCTGGAATTAGATGTGAGCTCTCAGTGGCTGTGGAGATGTCTTCATTGATGTGGTGCAAGGCCTGCACTAGAGGGGACTGAGGGCTCTTTGCCAACGAAAGTGATGACAATAGGGGCTAGTGATGCAAAATGGGCCCAGATGGTGCCAACTGAGTCACAGATTTTGACTGAATCACTAACTGGCATGGCAATCTCTCTCAGGGGATGATGCTGAGGGCAATACCAAAGCCAAACATAGGGTTTGAATCTTCCCCCTTTTAGTCAATGAAGGCTTTGCTGCCAAAACCACTGTCCCAAACCTGTATCTGTCAGCCCCAATACTCAAAGCAGTGTTCAGCCTCACAAACCTCATTGACAAGCCCACAGACATAACTGCTCTATTTTGCCACACTGAGTACAAACACCCATCACAGTGGTGGGTATGAGCTCAGCCCCAGCACATCAGCCACCAAATGAAGGCTCCAGAGAGACAGAATATCTTCTACCACCCTTCTTGGTTTCATTGCCCATGATCAATGCTGCATTACAATGTCCGTGCAAAGACAAGTAAATGAATTCTAGCTGTTGAAAAAAAAAAAAAAAAAGTCTTTTGAGGATCTATGGATTTTCTCAGGCTCTACACTGTGGAAGAGGACCTTCAGGCTTCCCTCACTGACCTCAGCGTGTCAGTTAAGAGGAGGTGTTTCTCAAGCCAAAATGAACATGCAGAAGATCTGTGAGCTCAATGCCACGAAACGCAAACCCTCCAGACAAGTTCAGCAAGGTGCTTGTCTCCAAAAGGAATATACAACCGCGTATGAAAAGCAACTACGCTGTGATAAGGTAACTTCAGATTTTGAAACCAAATCTCTTGCTTGGGCTTGTGCAAGTTCATATCTGTGCAGCAAAAAGACTTCATTTGAAATAGAAACGTCTCTGTACGTCAGAATAACACTAAGGCACAGTCTTAGATCCATCAACTAAAACTCACATGGCTTTTCTTGTTTCATTTTGTATGGGTATTATGCTGGTCACAGAACAAGTGATAAAAGGGTACTATCAGATTAAAAATAATGTATTTTTCTAAAAATTGTCATAGCTGTTATAACTAACACCTCAAGTTCTCAGAACTATGGTGTTAAAACAACCCAATTTGCATCATGCCTTTGATGATATTTGCTTAGTTGTGTTCCTCTCCAGTTGAACAGTATTAAAAGATTGGTATTTTTTCCTTTCGATATTTTCAGTCATTAATATTTAAAGTATTTTCTCATTTCAGCTTTGTTCACTGGTAACTGACTGAAGTCAAGCTGAGCTATATGGATTTTTTAAAAAACAACCTCAACTGGAGTTTTAAAAAAACCCAACCAAACCTGGAAAGGAGGCATTTCTTTGCAGCTTAATTGTGTGTATTTAGAGCTCCAGTAGAGCTGATAATGTTGTTTAAAAACTTCTCTCTACTAAGGAGGTTACAAATATAGCTTGAATTGCTGTAACGGAAGGGACTCCAGAACAGCTCATACTTTCCATTTTAACCTGAACTTTAGTGTTGACAACAGGGTGTTCTGACCATCTAGAGGTTTTTCCCCCATGACTCCATGACTTGCCCTAAAAAAACTATAACATGGGATACGGACAGCAGAATTTCAGCTGTAAACTTCATCTTCGGTGTGTTTATATTTCTAACTCATTCACGGGCAACACTTTTTTTACTTAAACATACTAACTCTTATCTGAAGATGACCAAAAGCAAGTAGGAGCAATTGTAGGTATGTGGTACTCAACAGATGCAAGTAATCCAAGGATGTCCCTCTTCGAACTACAACACCAGGAAGCCTTTAGCTGAGGATCTCAGGATTTTATAAACTCACATCCACCCACAGAAAGTTGCCCTGCCATTTATGAAGTGGCACTACTCTTATTTTCATATATATAAAAAGGGGTGCAGAAGAGTTCAACCACCCAATGTGTGCAACACCACTGCCAGGAACCTGGTGCCCACCTCCCTCCTCATAACCCACACACTCAGCTGCTCCTTCCCCTGCAGCAGAGCTTACAGAAAGCTGTACTTATAGAATCAAGAATATAGAATAACCCACCCACCTTCAAAGAAGTCCAACAGAATTAAAGCCTGCCTAAGAGTATTTAGGTTCTATTCCATGCCTGAAGGGCTCTTCCCTCTCCAAATGCGTATGAGCTTTCTATGACATCCATTCTCCACTCCTAAGAGTCTGTGGTTAAAATAAACTGTGCAATCTACAATACACTGCTCATAACCAACAACTAGTGGGTCTCCTAGTTGGTTGCTTCAGTCTTTGGCACTTACTTTCTTTAGCCTGGATGGAGAATATCCATTCAATGCCGTTGAAACCATTACTGAGATTGCATTTGGGTAACTGCAACGTGAGCCAAATACTAAGAAAAAAATAAATTAATTACAAACACTAAAGCCCATAACGGCAATAACACAAGGGTTCAACAGCCAGCAGGCTAATCAATACCTAGATAGATATTTGTTAAAATGATCATAAAAAGCTTGTTCACGAAATTGCCTACCTGTACGGAGAATATGGGTCAAAGCACGTCTTGGTGACCTCTGTTATCTCTGGGTTACAGCATTCCCCACCATCGAAGTTGTATCTCTCGTAATTACAATCCATGTCACACACCCCGTTCTGCTTCTTCTTGTTGAAGAGCGTGTGGCGCACGTGTCGGCAGTCTCCGCCGTCGTACCCAGTCAAGGTGTGGTTGCACTCAGGATCACAGTTCTCGTCCCCGATCTTGCTGATATCACAGTTGGCCAGGATGAGTCGGTGGCGAAGAGAAGAGTTCTTCACCTCCAGCACCTCCAGCTCCCAGGTGATGTTGTAGCGGCTGAAAGCCTCATTTAAATGCTGATGCTGGAACTCAATCTGCTGCTGGCTGACAGTGGGATTCTGGTGCTTGTCATCATAGAGATTTACGACACGGTAACGAACGATTTTGTTGCGGCGGAAGCTGGGAAGCTTGTTGTAGCTGGCGATTACATCTGTGTTGTCACAGACTGTCTGCCCGCAGAGAGGAGGGTCTAGGCTGGTATCCAGCAAATAGCCATGATGATAGCTGAACTTGCTCTGAGGACTGCTGCCATCCTTCATGGGAGACCAGGTGTTTTTCACATTCAGTAAACTGTCTTGAAGAACTAGCTGAGGTAGAGGCGTGTCTTGCCTGTGAATTGCCTGGCCCATGTCCAACAAAATCTCCTTCTGAGACCGGGCTGTCCTCCAGAGGCTGAAGTGCTCTACGTAACCCCGATAGTTCTGGTTCAGGGCATTTCCTCCAACCATGAGCACCTTGCACTTCAAGGTCAGAAGACTGAAGATGCTGCCCACTTGCTCTCCACTCGTGGCCACCTGGGCACCATTCACATAGAGTTTCATCAGGTGCCCATCATACGTGGCAGCCAGATGCACCCACTGGTTGGGGAGGTAGCTGCGATGTGCTGCAATGGTGGTTACTTTGCGAGCACGGTCCGTCTTCAGAGAGAAGAAATAGCGGGGGTCTCTATTCCCCTGGTCACTGACGGTGTTAATCCCCAGGACCCATCCTCGGTCACGGGAGGTGTAAGAACATTTGTCATATAGTCCTATGTGCCCCCAAAAAAGAAATATGAATAAATAAGGATGACAGAATAAAGAAATTAGTCTTTAAATTGTATAAATATAGCTCTCTACATATATACACACACTCACCTACATATGTTAGAATGTCAGTGTACAAGAAAGACATTATATCATCTACTGCATAATTGTGGGAGGTCGTGTTAAGACTTGCTATTAAAGGTCAAGATTTGCCAGTGGCATGTAAAAATGGGATTCCCCTTTCCTGACTAAAGACCAAAACTCTTGCGAATTCCTACCAGCGAAATGTTTTACTGTGCATTTGGTTCTTACCTTCACTCAAGCCATACATCATCGGTCAAAAATAAGAACAGTCTTGAGAAGCAATCCTTGTTGATCTCACTTATAATTCATACCCCTGATCCCTGTATCTAATAAGGTCCAGAGGAGAAACAAGCATGAAGTCTAAGCACTGCAGAGTTTTGAGAACCACTGAGCAGGTGCAATAATCTTGATAGGTTCGAGCACCCAAATCCTACAGAGAGCGAATGGGATGCGTCCAGGTCACCTTCAAATTCATACCCAGTAAAAACCAGTAAGGAAATGGCATACACTGGTATGCTAGATGTGCTGAACGAGGTATATACTACACCAGGGGAGGGCAAGAAACATGCACAGTTGGGCATACACATTTAGAAAGGTTCCTGTCCCCACACACACTTATTAACAGTTCAGTGCACCGCAGGGAATATACGCGAATGATTTCTCTTGTAGACAACGGGTGGATCCACACCTAAAGATCTCTCAATGAGCCTTCAGACAGCTCCAAGCACTGGGAAGTGAGCACAAGCTCCAAGCACCAGCTCGCTCCTCCTCAGTTTGGGACAGAAGATTTGGCGAGTTGAAGACACACATTTCTATCTTTCAGTTCTCAAAGGCCAAGGACTGCAGGGACACCCCTCAACTGAAAAAATAATCCTTAGAGCCTTCGGCACCAAACGGCCTTTCTACCATCAACACATAGAAACCAATCCTTCCCCCAAGCCTCCACTTCCAAAAGCATAAACGAAAATCATACATCTCTGACAGTTCAGTCTTCATGAAAAGACGAAATATCCCCTTACCTCACCCCTGCACCCTAACCCTCCCAACACTACAACCAAATAACATCTTCTGCTTCTGATGAAGTTGCTCAACAGCCATCTGTTAACAATCACTCATTAACAGCGCAGTCTTGTCTAGTATCAACAGAGCAAAGGTTACGGGAGCATTCACTGTATTTTTCCTCCCCTCTCCCAGCACCCACCTTCCCCTCTCTCCTCACACCCTTCCCCTCTCCTCCTCCTCCTCCTCCTCCCCTTGTAAAAAAAGTCTTCTGATGGGAAAGTTTAAAAAATTTAAACAGGCCTTTTTTTCTGCACGCTGCTATTTTGCTAGAGACTCTGAGCTCCCCCTTTTCCTGTTTCCTTTGGAAGAGAGATCCCAGGGTTCGGAAGGTAATGTGTTTATTCATCTGTAGGGCGCACTCAGTTCAAAACCTTTTCGAGACCAGCTTCTAGTTTATACTGCTCCTCTGATCAGGAGAAAGTAGAGGAAGAGAACCAGGAAAGGAAAAAACAAACATGCTTAAAAAAAAAAAAGACATTTGCCGAGATGGATATTTACCTGAGAAATTCATGATATGAAAGCCAAAGCTACCAATGATCTTCTGGAGTCTGTTTTTTAAGTGTTCTTTAATTTTTCTTTATGGAATAAATACTTCTACAAAGCATTCATTTTCAGATGTATGAGAACCCATAAACCTCTGCATTTTTATGAATCTCAAATGAAGGTATTGTCCAACGATAGTGGGTGGATAACACTGCAATGAATGAGAAGACAGCTGGCAAGACAAGTCCCTCTCCCAAATAAGTCATAAAAAACAAGTTATAAAAATCTCAACTTATTGTAATAAGATCATTAGAGTTGGTCAGATGTTTTGCAAGACAGTTTTTGCCTGCCAAGAAATGCCAACATGGTGAGAGCAGAAAAAGTGATGCAGAAATGGGCTAGTCCCAACAACCCCTCTGAGAAGTTGCAGGTCTTCAACACAGCCAGGGGAACACCAGGAACTCCCTCAGCCGTTTTGACTGCAAGCACATAAAGTCAACCCATCCCATCCAAGCTCCGCATCATCTCCTGCCACCTTTGCTGCCCAGTGACCAAATTCTCCAGGCCTGCAGACCACAGGGCAGCTGCACATGCAACAGCTGCTCCACCTGTTTCTGAAGGCACCCAAGATGATCCCTGTTGTTGGAAGGATGGCTGGAGGTCCTGGAACAGGCTTCTGGGGTCTCCAGCTCTGGGGAAGTCCACCATACAGTCTTTAAGGGTCAAGTTTTTTGGCTTTTTGTACTGATCAGGGCTGGAAATATTCCCCCGAAGAACAAATAAATTATTGTGGAATGGAAATTCAGTTTCCTAGCCAGCATTAAAGAACATCGTCCTCTCTCTGAAGTGCTGCATGATGCTAGTGATTGACCTCAGCTGAACAGATGGAGCTGCTGGAGGAATACTACAGAATAGTAGCAATCCTCCCTTGCCTTTGAGCATTTAAACTCTGATGTGATGCAACGTGTCTTGAGTTTGGCTCAAACAGCTGCCATCAATTCAAGATTTACAAGGAGCCAAAGGAGGGCAGAGAAAGAAAAAAAAACCACCCACCAGTGACAATAGGGACACCACTGAACATGTTCGTATGAAAGCTGAACTAAAAGTCTACTATTCCAGTTCCTTACATTTTCTACTTTAGGGCAAAGGTCACTACTGAATCCGTATACTATGTACGGTATTCTTTTCTCAAACTTTTACTATTAGAGACATCCAACTCTTGATGAAAAGATGGACTGAACACAATTCCTTCAGCAGCAAGACTTGTTTTATTCTTAAGAGAAAAGAAAAAGAGTAAAAAAAGGGATAAAAAACCCCACACTGTCTATAACTTGCAAAGTCGTACCAGTTCTTCATGACCTTCTTTTGCTTGTATGCTGCACCTACTTTCCCAATCCTGCACTTACTTTTGGCTTTAGACTAAGAATCCTCCGGCTAAGGGAGTGTCACTTTTCCATTTTGTCCCCAGCACAATGAAACTAATTTCAGCTGGGACTTTGGATGTCATAATAGAAGAATTTATTACTTCTTCTATGACAACTCATAAGGGCAAAGCCATTGGAAGAGGGACATGTGAAATAATTGCCAGAACTTCTGAAAACTGAGTAATTTGATGTTTTCACAATTTATTTCAATTTAGTAAAAGGTTCCATAGCCATGAGTTATTTCTCAGACATAATTAAGAACATTTTAAACAAGAGGCCTCTTTTACCCCAAACAAGGCTGGTTTTGAGCAAAATCACCCCTTACAATGGTTGACACTCCGAATTTCAAAATTTAGCTGTGACCACAATCAACATTTACATGAAAAACATACAACGTTTAGATTCTCATTTACACTGAGAATTCTTTACAATACTGTGGTAAAGGACATTTTTAGCTACTTAATATCCCTGCACAAACCAAGAGTGGTGTAAAAGAGGCCTCATGGTAAATGAGACTCAAGCCAATGACTGCAAAACCACAATTTGGCGAATATGCCTGAAGTTTTTGAGCCAAGAAATGGTGCGAAATAAAACTGATGTTTGTTTTCCCCACAGCAATTAGATTAAAAAAATATGTACAAGTTTCATACAGCAGCAAACAGTTTTCCTCACTTCTGCTTGCCCTGAGTTGTTAGAAAGGGATGGAGTTACAGCTGAGAAGACTGACAGCCCTTCGAACTCTTCCATCTGAATGATTTTTTCCCTGTAAAGCTGCTGTTCCTGAAACCTAAGGGATTGAACTGGAATTTTATCTTTTATTAAAAAACAGAAGAGGTGCTAGTTCAGCTTTCCAGTAAGAGGCATTGGTAACCTTCCTTCCCCACAAAGGAGTGAGTCACTGTTCAGACAACTCCAGAGAAGAGCATGAAGAGAGTAAGATGCCACGTTCCAGTATGCTTGGCCAGAGACAGACTTTGATGGCCCAGTGAGGCTCTTTCCAGTCCCATGATGTTTGTCCCTTACAGGAAAAGTAAATTCCTAGGCAGCAAAAGAGTGGGGAAAGCTGGAAAATTAAACTCCAAAGGCCAAAAGCCAAACATGGAAAAACAGAAAGATAGTCTCTCCCTTTTTTCACAAGTGAAATCTCAGTTCCCCGGCTACTGCTCTACAACTGCTCCAGTCTACAACTGTCCACCTGACCTCTTTCAGGACACCCTAACCAAGGCCAGTGTACAATTTACATCCCAGTTTGGTTTCAGGACTTTGCTGCGGACTTAAGCAGAGCCACATCCTCGCACAGGCCCTGTGTGCTGGACGGGATTTGGCAGCACGAGCACAGCGTGTAGCATCAGCTGCTGAACTCCTGGAAGAAAAGTCCTGGGTGAGGACACAAGGCATTGCTGTAACCAACTTTGTGATGCCGAGATTGGAGCAGATGTTTATCAGCAGCAGCCACAGAGAAACTGGAACTCACAGCTAGAGGCTGTAGCTGCTGGAGTCCTAAGTAGCACTCTGTGGGCAGAGTTTGAAAGGAGAGAGGCCGAAGTAGCCCATGTGAGCTGCTATAATCCACTTTAATATTATCAATAACAGACTCCAGGCCTCCCTCACTCAGTTCAGCGCCGTTTCTTGCGTCTTAACAGCAATCTTCCCGTTAATCAGCCCAGCCACAGAATTACCCAAGAATTTAATTCTTTATGCAGAAAAAGTTTCCCCACTTCACTGAGCAACAGGAAGAAAAAAGAAAAAGAGAGGGGGAAAAAAAAAAAAGGACTTGTTATGCTTTCCTTTCCAGGAGCCGAGAGGCTGGGGGAAGGGGAAGAAGGAGGTCAGTTTGACTTTGAACACATCAGGTGTGCTGCAGAGCCCATCAGAGCCGTGCAAGGCAGAACGGAAAACAGTGCCCTGCACTTCTGAAAGTTGGCCGTGCCTGTTTTGCTGGGAGCCTCCAA